TTCTGTTTTTAGGAATAGTCAAGACAAGAGAAAAACACGAAAGTTGCTGTGTTTTGATTTAATGTACTATTTCAATCATCACTGTTATCGTAATTACAGCAATATGATAATCTTTTGGGGCAGAGTTTTGGAGGTTTGTGTATTTTACACAAATCTGTAGATCAATCAGAGTTAGACATTAACACCGTTGGATGCCGGCCCAGTGGTCCGATGGTTAGGCGTTTGAGCACAATACCGAAGGTCCTGGGTTCGAATCCTGTGAGGTTCAGGAGTAGTGGATGCGCACTGCCACTGATGAGTCCCATACCAGGACGAAACGGCCGTCCAGTGCTTCCAAGTTTCTAATGGTGGTCTAACAATGATTGATTGATGATTTCAAATATGATAATCATCAAGGGATTAGTGATGTTGAAAGGTGCCAAAGTAAAAAACAGAGAACATTAATACCAGTCGTTTACTGAGTTGATTTGTACATTACACAAGAGTATTTATGTTTCTTAGTATTTGTATATAGTTAGGCATATGGATGTTGTTGGAAGAGGACTCTGGATCAATTCTATCGTACTAGTTAGCAAGCGTCAATAAGGTTTACCTTCAGCCCTTAGGGAACAAGGATTCTCTGAGTGATTTGAACTCACGTCATCTAGTCGTACAATAAGGGACAGTACCAATGAGCGCTATTTTGATCACCAATGATCTTTATATTTGATCTTAATTGCAAAAGCTATTATGAAGCTTACTAATTACTGTTATTGATAGAAAATAGTAGTTAATTTACAGTAAATGTGTTATTCAGCTTTGTAGTAAAAGTAACACTTAATTATCGATACTAATAGAGATGGTTTAGTGTCAGTATCATCCATGTATAATCCTATGTATCATGAGTTTGAGGAGATTAAAATTGCTGTTGATGACTCTAAACCGGAACTTCTGGTGTTTTTGTTGAAGGTTTAAGAAGGTGAGAATTTAGGTGATCAGTTGATCATATCTAGCGAAATAAGTTTGAAATAGTTATTATTAATGACCTAGACGATCTACACTGAAAATAAACGCCACCACTAATGAAAAATAAATAGATAAATTAAGGTCAGTGTTTTAATGAGCCAATAAATTTCCAGACTGTTAACTGTGTAATAAAAGGATAATAATTTAAATCAAATTTCTAATGCTAATAACTAGTTTTAAAAATGAATTTCTCGAAGTTCAAAGTTGTGAATCAACTAAATTAGTGATGAAGATTGCAAAATGGATGAAATTTAAAAATTGGAAATTTTGAATTACGTACGATTAAAAAGTTCAATTAAGTCATGTTTTTTGAACGATTTAATGATTCTGTGTGTTCGCACAACTGAAAAACCAAAGTAGAGTTGAGTTTTGACTTTCATTGATTATCCAGTCACTAGTAATTGGTGATGAGCATTGTCTTCGAAATACTAATGACGATTAATTAATAGACTAGTTTAGTTAGTCTAATCCTACAAAAGATCGGTCACGGATTGAACAATTTAGTCCAAAGGTTTATGATAAGAGGTGATAACATAATTGATCAAAATTTTGGGCTGTTAGATAAGAATTTTCCTACTATATATATATATATATATATATATATATATATATATATATATATATATTTAGTATGGCATATTTGTTCAAGGTTCAACTATCTATGACAATGTCTAACATACAACCATGGTGAACAGATTGTGAGTAGTTGATTTATTTTTACAGTTAACAGTGTACATACACAACAGATCAACAGTTTTAACACATTCTGGGAATAGCGAGTAAAATAAGTGCAACTATATTTTTTTTAACAAGCAGTTCAATCACTTAATCATTTTCTCAAATTTACGGTTATAAATAGTCATTAGTTTACTAGATTTACTCCATTTAACATGTTGACATTAAGTGTAGTGTCAGTGTATCATAATAGTTTATTTATCAATCAGGATAAAATAAAAATTCTCACACAACTAGTCATTTAGTTAGATTTGTCCAAGATTGAAGACACCTATTTATCAAGAACTAATATCGATTCGACTTAAGTAGTGTATATATGTACTGATATAAACATGTTGTACTAGTAATGAGACCTGAAATTTCATTGGTTTGATCCATGTAATACTGGTAGCAAGCACTAATTATTGTCTTACATTAGAACTAATCATATTCAGTGCTGTCTGTTTTTGCAATGGTTCTCTGGGGTTGGTGTTATTTTCTAGTGACTACAATAATTGATGTTATGTTACTAAACAACTGGATATGTGTAGTGTGAGCCCCAACCAGGATGTCTATTTTGATATGACTCAGATCAAAAGTCAATGAACTCAGGGATGAATGATATTTCTTGGGCAGCTTCCCTTTAGCTTTTTCCATCCCTACTCATATCTCAGATGATGATTACACATATTTGACACATGTCTGAACCACACTACTCGAAGCCATTCAATCATCTTAGGGAACATATTTGATTACTATAGGGTAGGAGAAAATTCAATTTTTTTTAAAAGTTTCAACGAATAGATACCTGGTCATCGATTTACTGAAATACGGTAACTTACTTATATATGGATTTCGAGAACTGTCATTTGAATCAGATTTCTCTTCATGAGAAAGTCGTCATTTCTTGGTAGTCACACTTAGTCAACTAGTATTTTCTTTCCGAATGACATCACATTTACTAAATATACAAATTCTCAAGTCGTATTTGTCAACTTTTATTAGTTATATTTCAACAGAGTACCATCATTAAAAAGATTTGCTGCGGTCTAGGAATAAGAAGACTACTTCGAGATCAGCAATATAGTTGGAAACATCTGTCCTTCAATTGTAGTAGAAAGTTGTGACTTGTAGCATCAATCAATACAGGTACGAGGACGAATGTTTACTAATGATATTTATTTAATAAAGGTTATTTGAAGAATGTGAACTAGCCAGTATTGTTACAGGTTTTCATTGTATAGTTGTCCACACCACAGAAAGGAATTAAGTTAATAGTGATCTTAAAAACTTAGCAGTGTGATCGTAGAGTCAAAGGAATAGCTACCAGAGACTAGTAACACGCGATGTTAGCCTTTTATTTCTAGGGAATTACTGTAGATGATCAATGGGGCAGGGGAAGCATATTGCTTGTGAAGAATGCTGACTCTGACCCCCTCCTGTTACATGAAAAAGGATTACTAGACATGTTTGTTGTCTGAAGAAAGAGTATTGCTGTCATGACAACGGCTGTACTGTTAAGCCCTAGGTTTGATGATGTTAGTTTTACCGTCTTTTACTCGATGTGACTACGATAGTGGAACATTGGGGAACATGTGTTCAGAATAGTTCCATTGGATTATCGTGATAAATAAACCTGATTGCCAAGTTCAGATAGCATCTACAGTCGGGAAGCACTGAACCCAGTTGAAAGATATGAACGTCATATGAAGTGTTATACGGTTTTTTATGACATTGAATTTCAGACTTAAATGAGAAACCGTTGTTTCGCGCAATTTGAGTTTTAATAATCTCTCACCTGATATTAGTTCGTTATGAAAAATATTAAAACGAATTACGCCAACTGCAGTGCTCCTAATAATTTGAAAAATCCCTTTGTTAACTAATCTTTTGAAAACTAATAACAAAACTATAGTGAAAATAATAATGAGTCTTTGTTCATGTTAAGCAGAATGCAGACAACGTGAGATGATTCTATATTTATTAGCATAATAAATTGAAGTCAGTCATACGAAATTTGGGACTTGGTACATGAATGTATTGGTTCGATTTGCCATACTAAATCACCAGTGAGATGCTGAAGTACCATAAGTAGTAACAGTTTCAATGGTAGTAATAAAGAGTACAAAAGGTATGACCAAATGAAAATTCGAAATTAATCGAGTTTGAATTGTGTAGAGTGAATGTCCCGGTGTTAATCACAATAGTCCATTTCGGTCTAAATTAGTCAGTAGCAACGTAAAACCAGGCACATATGTACATCAGTTCAAGCTGAAGTTCCACATTAGCACAAAGAGATGAGACTGTCACAGATAATCCTAGAGTAGTAGGGGTAGTGATTGTATTAGTGGTAATAGGAAAGGTTAGGGATCGAAGGTACGATTCAAGAAAATATAAATTAGTGAAGTAAAAAGATATAAGGCGGTTAGAAGCCTAGAATTCAAGGATGCATGCAGCTGCACCAAAGCAAACGGTTTTAAGCCATGTCATTCAAAGACTTCAACCACTGGTTACGATTGTCACATGAACCTTAACCAGATAGGCTACACCTACAAATATGGCTCAGTTCGATAGTCAATGACTTCATAGATTGGTACCATGTTTTGGTCGCTCCTAACTTTCTTCCAGCTAACCCATAGACTAGACAACATAACCCGTCCAGGTAGTCGGTGGTTGGGCATACGTAACTCATGTCCCAGCTACCTTAGTTGATGAAGATCCACTAGCTCATTAACTTATTTGTCATCCTTACGTAATAACCTATCCCCAACCCAGGGATTGCTTACACAATGACCGCAGGCTACAGGAGAAATACTTAGAAGACGTCTATGATCGAGTACTAGTAAACCTACGAATATCCTCTATTTTAAGTGGCCATGTTTCACACCTTACTGCTATCACACCCCTCTGCAGTCAGCAGTACGACTTCGCCCTCAGACCTTGAGTAGCTGCTTTTAGTCTCATCGTTCTCCAATCGAGCTGCCTTGCATGGTAGAACCTTCAGGAACATATGTTCCAACCAATATAGCTCGGTTGAGTCATCACGATAGGCAAGCCCGACCACCACGTCAAGGTAGCAGCTACGATCGGGAAAAACATGGATATGACAAGTGGCTTAGTCAAGGTAACCAAACACGGAATACCATTATCTCATACAAATCATACAGTAAACATTAACCAAATCTACACGTATGAAATGAATAATATACGATTTTAATTAAATTCTGATTCACTACTCAAATGATTACTTTTATCCCATCTCTCTAGTTAAATAAACTGAATTTATCGATTAGGATGATAATTATATTTACCACAAATATGTCAAATTATATTCATGAAGATAATAACTTATCTCGTACTATGAGGGACCCTACAACTGACTTCATAAAATACAGAAGTATACTACATTGAATCATATTTGGTATATTATGTGATATGCCAATATTGTAGTATGTAACAACTGTTTAACGATCACAACAAAAATATTGTCACCATGAAAAAAGGAAAGATATAACGACAAACAAAAAAATTGGGACAATGTACTTAGAAAGAATAAAAAAAATGAAGTTTGGCCTATGAAAATATCCAGTTTCAGAAATTGATCTTGTAACACACAGAGTTGTTATTGATGATGTAGTAGTGACGAACAATTTTATAAATGTGTAAAAACAACAATTTTATCGTGTATGAAATAGACGAAACGAATTCTTTTTTTTTTCGCTTGACAATTTTGATTTTTTTTTAAGTAGAAAAACAAATGTACGAAAGAACATAACAACTGATAAATGAATGATTTACAAGTGAATGTTTTTTTTATTATCACACGAAATAATGTAGTTGATCTTCTTATTGTGGAAAGAATAGAACAAGAAAATATGCGGGGGATTTTTTAACTACATTTGAGATCCATCGGCAGCAGTGGCAATATTTTCCGGTCCAAGAATAGAATTATTATTCCCAGACCATGGAGTTTCTTTCCATATGAACCATAAACCAACTGCCCATAGAGCTACATTGGTAAATCCAAATATCTAATTTATATAAGTTAATAAAAACATGATTGTTAAAGTTACAAAAGTAAATCTTCATTGATTGATTAGAATACAGGTAGGTACAGAAGTGAAAATTTGTAAAAAAAAAATAAGAAAGCAGAAGACCCAAGTTTTATAAAATAATTTAGTTAAAAGTTTAATGGCCGAAATTCGAAAATAATTCATCAATGAAAACCCATTCGTAAAAATGGATCATTGTGTTTGCGCAATATGAGTGTTAACTCATAGGTGTCTTCGAAGCATTGCTCGTATATCGTGGGACACCCGAGTGAGCAACGCTGTTATTAGGAATCGGGTGCTAGGTAAGAATGGCAGATCACAGACGCAGTAGTGACACTTCATCAATTGAGGTGGTTGGGACATGTGTTGCGTATGCCCGACCACCGACTGCCTCGTCGAGCTTTGTTTTGTAGTGTAGGAATAGGTTGGAAGAAAGCTAAGGGCGGCCAAACCAAAACATGGCATAAATCCATGAAGTCATTGACGAGTGGACTTAGCCATGTCGGTAGTTGTCGACTACCTACCTGGTTGGGGTCCACGAGATGATAATAATCGATGGTTAGAGACCTTGAATGACATTGTTCAAAACCGTTTGCAATGGCTCAGGTGCATTCATTCTTTGTGTTCTCTCAAATCCTAATCTTCTAGATTCTTCAACACCTCTAGTTTTGACTTTCTAAACTTTACTCACTGAATCATATTTCTTGAATATCTTCTAATCCTAACCTCTCTGATTACTTCTAATTCCTTTACTACCTCTACTACTATTGGATTTGAATTGACAATTACATCTCTGTGCTGATGTGGTATGGCAACATGAACTGATGTACTTACGTACGAAGTTCTACGTTGCATCTGACTGACTGAATATGAGTGTTAAAGAATTTACCCAATAATTAATTTATCAGGTAGCGTTTTGAGGCGTCAAGTGATCTCTTTGTGTTGGATTACTCCTTGTTTTGTGTCTGAAAATCGTACTTACATAGCACATTATGAAAACTATAATCTTAGCGTGTCATACGCAGCGTAGAACCTGGGATATTTGTATAACGGGTTTAGTTGCTACACTCCATTATCCTCAGTTTTGATCTGAATGGCTATTGTTTTTGCTGTTTGTAGGGATTTGAGTCGGACTGACTTTGGCAGAAGATTACTGGCCCGATAAATTATTGGAATATTGACGTGTATTAGTGCTATGACTAGTTTGAGCTAGATGGGCTAGTACTGAACTATTCACTGTTTTTACTAAACCTTTGTTTAGCTATGCTAGATGTTTACGAGTACGAAAATGCAAATCCCTAGAAATATGACGAATACAATCAGCTCCGTAGGAGTAATTTCATTGACATATGAAAAACGAGGTGACCATTCTGTTATTCATCTTCGATCTCAGAATGGCTGTAGGACGTGCAGACAACATTGGTTGTAGTTTGCTTGGATTAAAGGTTATTCGAAATGCTTTGTACAACCTTAGAATTAGTATTTCCTCACGAGCACTACTTCAAAATCATAAGTGTATATAGAGACATAATTAGGATTTTCTTATGCTCTTTTTTACCTGGATAAATGCTTATTTCTAAACTTCTCAAGCCAAAAGTTTTTTAAAGTATTAGTTAGCGCATTAGCATCATCTGTAACCGAATTCGGGGAGCATATAGCCACGGTTCTACATTGACGTGTCTTGATTAGGTTTCTAGTATACTTCAGACGAGTAAAACTAAGAAAATTCCTATAATGGCCAGTGCAAGTAGTTTTCGTGTTCAAGTTTCTCATTAGTGAATCATCTACTCTTCTTGAAGGTGGAACATCTAGATATTCAACCTCTACTTTTTTTCTCACACGCGCCTTTAATGGCCGGATGAACTTGATCAAATCTCTTGTCCCTACCCGGTCATTATGGTCTTTACAAAGAATGCACGTATCCTTCATATATCGACAGTAAAATGAAGACTTCCGGTGGACCGTCTACCAGTTTACCGACAAAAATCTTAGCAAGAATGGGACCTAGTGGTGAACCTTTTGATTGTTGCTTACGCTACTTTTTGCGTTCAAACACCGTCCTCTTTCCTGCTTTATTGGTCACAGACTTTAAGGGAAGAATATGATAATGTCAAAATATCTGTTGAGATCACTCTCCACTACGTAGGACTATCGGCTTGAATTCTTTTCCAATAACTACTGGATTTATATTGCCCTTCACGTTATCGGACTAGCGTTGCAGGAAAATATTTAGCAAGTGAGTGAACTCTATTTTTGGTTAACTAAAATGGAGTTTCCAAGTAAGGATTATTTTATCATTCAATAAATAACTTGGTTTTGAGTGTTATTTTTAAAGTCTTCTTATTTGCATATTGTCTTTTATTTCCTCGCATATTAATATTTGCTTTGTGTATTGTTATATCTTGATTAAGTTCTGGTGCCAGTCCGCTGCAGCGAATACAGATGAACGGCTTTTCTTCAGAGATACACACTTTGTCCAAAGAGCTAACGAAAAGCACTGATACGTTTAAATTTCATCCGGATAAAAAGTCGAGGTCAGAATGATTGGGGTCACACGGTTTTGACAGCGACTTTTTAGTAGTACTGTTTTCCATAACTGGAACGTATTAAACATATGAAACATTTTGTTTTCATTTTATCTAGATAATTTCCAAACTGATGAAAAACCAGTTTGTATGCATGGAAAACGTATTATGCATTCCGAACTACACTCTTTGATGTATATTTTGCTGGGTAACATAGTCGTCTAGACTACCAACTAACATTTTAGAGTTCAAGGGTTTGGCGTTTTTAATGTAGTGATAGAAAAGATATCTGGTTTAAAGTAACTGTGATAATTGGTTAATGTCTTCTGAACCTCATAATTTTGTGATTAATATATTATTTCAAGGTTGTGATTTTTTCAGCCAGAAATTTTCAAACTGATGAGTGCTTAAGCGCATGATGGAATTAATCTATGCAACCACTGAACAAAAATCCACTTTTAGCAAACACGTGGTTTCCGTGCGACGTTACTGAGGGTACTTCCAAATCGACCTAATTTATGGGATGTCAATGAAACGAAGGAAACCTCCAAGTGATGAAACGATTCATAATTAGACCAAACGATTAAATCATGTTTCAAAAAGATGCTTGTTTGAATACCAAACATGAAGGATTAACGAGGAATCAGTTTGTGCCAGTGTATAGTTTGACAGAAATAACTAAGGTTTTCGGGCAGAAAACTGATCGGACTGTTTATGAAATGTTTTCCTGATTACTTACGTTACCATCTATAAAACGGGACTATTATCTCGCTTTTTGCAGCGAATTTAAGTAACTGCCAACCGAAACCTATATTTTATGTCATAACGATTAGCGACACCAGCAAGACAACTAGTAGGCAAACGGAAACGACTAAACTGGGAATAAATAAATGTATAACTAAAGATCCGTATGAATTACAATACTTAACTGAAGGACAGTAATATTATTTGTGCATTATTGTATGAACTCAGATATTTAAATGAAAAAAACTATTACCAGAGATACGTTGAGTCCACCATATGTAGCTTGTTGTATAGCTTCACAAGGCACTTTAGGCCCCAACTCATTGCAGATCCGGCTTACTGATGTGTAGGTTTTAAACTGATTCACATTATCAGCCCATGCGCAAGAGGCAATAAACCATAACAGAACAATGACGATCGAGACGATGAATTCCTATAACGTTTATAAGATAGTGCATGAAACTTACATATTTACTAAATTGCGAATCAGTCAAATAACGATCATGGAAATAGACATAATAAACGCTAATAGCAACGCAGAAAAGCATAGTTATTACACCAACAAAAACATAAAACTGTGCTGCCGAAGCGAAATTTCCATACAGGTGTTTACTATCCATGGTATTGCATTGAGGAAGCACAATAGAATCAATACTAAAAAGATGTGAAGTTTATGTGCAGTTACCTGAAGGGGTATGAAAAATTGGCACTCCATGATGTGGCGTTTGGACATTTATACGTTAGCTTGACACTAGTTGAGAAGTCGCAAGTTGTTGCGAATGCAGAGATCGCTAAAAGCTACCACAATGTAAGAGATATATGAGTAACATACAACTTCAAGGATTTTGATAAAACCCTTCGGTTCTTTGAAAACTTCCCATCCTGAAGACTAGTAGAAATATTTAATTGGAATGAATTTACCGATGGTTCGATCATTTTTCAATGTCTTTGTGACCTTTCAAGATGACAGTGTGGGGACAGTTGGGTACTGTAGCACAATACTCGAAGAATGAGCTACAGTAAAACGTCCGATGTACAATGCCTAAATGATCACCAAATGTTTTTGTATTGACTAATAAAAAAACTAGGTCTTTTGACCTAAATTTATCTTCTCTCAAGATTATTCCTCTGAATGCCTGACTATTCATGGTATTATTTACCACTACATTGGTATCTGGAGCCATTGTTCATTTATGACTATTTTGAATTTTTCTTGATGATGTTATCTATAAGACTCTGTAACTCCTCTCAAATCTAAGGATGGTATATAAATACCTCCCGCTTGTTTAGAATTTAACATTAGCGATGATACATGAGGTTAAGAGCATTCCTAGTAAGGAAAGCGATGTTGATCGAGTAGAGTTGGACACTGTACATGAGTCGACTGGATGTCATGAGAAGTGTACTACTGCTTGTACAGCTGCGGCTACTAATGATTACAGCATTGATGATACTCCTGCGAGTAATAGTGATCGATGGAAGTTGAAAGACACTCAACGTCGTCGAAATGATCGTACGTTACGCTCACATACTGCTACCCAAGCTAAGAAGCATAAGAAACAACATGATGCTACTATTATTAAGAAGCGTAAACTTCGTTCTCTTTCGGATGCTATGACTAGCAATGGAAATAGTAGTCATCAGAATCTTAGTAGTGACAGCGATAGTAAAGAGACAGAAAGTGTGAGCAATCCATCTATAGTGACTAGTCGATCAACTTCATCGAATGAGCCTTCTAGTGTTTTGACGTCATCGAACCCTGCCACTAATGCTAAGTTGATTGACGATACACGAGATTGTGTAACTGTAACTGTTCCTACTCCGGTTGACTGTCAGTCGAGTGATGATGAGAAGGAAGCGTCTGATGGTTGTAGAATCTTTTTTGAATGTTTTGTTTTTTGGAAAATCCCTCCATGTATATATATTTGTGTTATGATATGACTGACTCTTTCTGTTGACATTTTGGTACTCCATTTGATTCCATTTTGAGATTTTATCATTGTATATTGTTACTATTTCTATATTTTGTAATTATATTGAAGTTTTTATGTTTGCTTCTGAACTGTACATATGTTGTTTAAATTTGATATAATATGGCTACCGCCACATTTTTGGATTCGATATCGTGCAGTATAGGAGTTCACCTAGACCTCGGAACATTGATACTCGTTCAGAGTAATTTTGAATTGGAAGGCGTAAATTTCGTTAGGTATTATTTGTATTTCCATTTATTATTTATTAATAGACCATTTTCCCCTAGAATTATTGTGTTTTTATATTCAAAATCGGGAAGTGCGTCCGACATACGTCTATTGGAATCGAATTGAACTGCCACGATAGAAAATCCAATTACAGTCTAACGAAATTTGGAAACCAGTCCATTTACTGTCTGGAATTATTCCTAAGAACATTTATATTCTGGAATTATCTATTACTTTTGATTAGAAGACCAATTACAGTTGGATTATTAGGAATTATAAAGAAACATTTGGAAATTTAATCGTTTATCACACTAAACTTTCTTGAAAGAAGAATTTTGGATTATTTATCGTATTTTCGTATTCGAATTGTATCTTGGATGAAGAATTTTTGATTTGGACATATCTTATCGAACTTATCTGTGGAATTTCTATATTTTGTATTTGTTATTTATCTTCCGTTGAACTTCACTTATAATGTCAAGTCGCAAGAAATCAAACACGAGGAGGGTGGAAGAGCTCGACGGATCCCGGAACGCTAAGCAAGTCGTTAATGATGAATTTTTTATGGGTAACCCATATGTTAACACTGATGTTATGTCTGATACTTATTATTGTAAGTCACCTTTGGCAGGCATTAAGGAACCAGGATTAAGTGAGAGTTCTAAGGTACCAGAGACGGATCAGATACTTAAGACACCGATAGTAGGTTTAGAACTACCTAAGGTCGAACTTACATTTTTTGATGGAAAGTCTCGCGACTATTTTAGATTCATGCGTCAATTAGAAACGTTTATAGAACCAAGAGTAAAAGATGACAACGTGCGTTTATTATATTTAATTCACTACTGTAAAGGAAAAGCAAAAAATGCGATTGAAGGCTGTCTTATAATGGATCCACAGGCGGGATATAAGAGAGCTAAGGCCATCTTAAAACAGCTCTTTGGGCAGTCACATGTAATAGCCCGTGAAACCTTAGAGGACTTATTTAGAACCGGGAATGCGGATTTTAATGATCCTGAATTATTGACGAATTTGGCGATTAAAATGCAGAATGTGGCTTTAACCTTAGAACAGTTAAATTGTACAGCTGAACTTAACTCTATGGTTACTTTAGAGCGAATAGTTAGAATTCTGCCCCGGTCTATGCAAGTTCAATGGGCGGAATTAGCGGTAAAATGGATTGAAGAAGATAGAGAGCCTACCTTTACTGAACTTACTGAGTTTGTATTATCTCGAGCAAGAATAGCTGATAGTAGATTCGGTCGGCTGGCTAATCGGCCAAAAATAGGAAGAGATGTAAAAATGAACTGTCACCTTCAATCGAAACCAGCAACCATACCGAATACTAGACATAACTGTAGCATTTGTACTGGTGATCATTTGGTTACTAAATGCCCTCAGTTTTTAGAGCTTACTGTTCAAGATAGATGGAAGCAGGTCAGAAAAAAGGGGATGTGTTTCGCCTGTCTGAAGCAAGGGCATAAGGCCAGTGACTGTAAATCGACAATGCGTTGTGGTATCGACAAGTGTGAGAAAAAACATCATGTTTTGTTGCACGAAGACTCGACCAACAAAAGGGTGGATGATAAACGTGAATCCCAGCACTGTTGCGGACTCACTAGGTCACTGAGCAGACAGGTATGCTTAGGATTGGTCCCAGTACGTGTGAAATCGGAAACAGCAGAGATAATAGGATATGCTCTTTTAGACAACGGCTCTGATTCTACGTTGATAACGTCAACTTGTGCAAAGGCGCTTGGATTGCCGAAAAACTGCGAGTTAGTTGTGGTACAAACTGTGAGTGGTGACAAAACGGCTGCATGTACGGATGCCACCTTTGAAGTGCTTTCTTTAGATCAGTTGGAGCACATCGTGATTGAAGGAGCGATGATCGTACCTAGCCTACCGAGGCATAAGCCCACCATGTTAGCAATGAAAAATCTAACAAAATGGCCGCACTTAAAGGATGTACCGGTAGAAGGTTTAGAATCTGAAGACGTTTTGATGCTCATCGGGTGTGACGTGCCAGAGGCACATTGGGTGTTAGAGCAACGTCTAGGCGGGAGGAAAGCGCCGTATGCGATAAAGACACTACTTGGGTGGACTGTGTTTGGGCCTACATCATACTCGGAATATAGAAAAAGAGTTGTTAACCATATTAGTAACGCACACGATTTGGAGGATCAGATACGTAAACTGTATGATGTAGAATTTGCTGATGTCTATTCCAGTGACAAGTCAGTGTCAGTAGAAGACCAGATAGCTTTAGAGATAGTGGAAAGAGGTACTCACTACGTTGATGGCCACTTCGTAGTCCCAATTCCATGGAAACTGGATCCCTCCACGAAGGGGACTGACTATGAGTTAGCTAATAGTAGGCTACAGAGTTTAAAGCGAAGATTGATGAGAGACGATAGGTTACACGACAGGTACGCCAAATGTATGGAGGATAATGTCTGTAAAGGCTATGCGCAAAGGGTACCTGAGTTGCACCTAAGGTCGGACTACCGTCCTCGGTGGTATTTACCCCATCATCCCGTGTTAAACCCCAAAAAACCAGACAAGCTGAGGGTGGTCTTGGACTGTGCTGCTAAATTTGCTGGAACCTCTTTAAATGATATGATCTACCAAGGGCCGGATAGCACCGCTGATCTGGTAAGCATACTATTACGTTTTCGCAAGGAAGCAGTAGCAGTATCGGCAGATGTTGAAGAAATGTTTATGCAAGTAAAGGTACCCGAAGGTGACCGGGGAGCGTTAAGATATCTATGGTGGGAAGGTGGGAACACATCTAAAGAGCCTTCTGAATTTCAAATGACCTCTCATCCATTCGGAGCTACGTCATCCCCGTTTTGTGCGAACTTTGCTATGAATAAAACAGCTCTAAGCTTCTCGAGTGATTATGAGCAGTACGTTATTGACGCGGTGAAAAATAACTTTTACGTTGATGACTGCCTGATATCCTTTTCGAGTTGCGACCAAGCGAAGAGATTTGTCACGCAGATAAACGAGTTGTTACGTAGAGGTGGATTTAACTTAAAAAAGTGGGTTACCAACTCAGAAGAAGTGAGGTCTATATTACCGGATAAGGGTGTCAAGGAATCATTGTTTGGAATATCAGCGGATTGTATCGTCACTCATCGAACGCTTGGTATAGAATGGGATGTCGTACACGACGTATTCAAGTTCCACTTTGACGCACCAGATAAACCAGTGACGAGGAGAGGAATCTTGTCTGTTGTTTCGTCTCTGTTCGATCCGTTGGGTCTGATCGCTCCAGTGTGTCTCACAGCTAAGCTACTTCTGCAAGGATTATGTAAATCCCAAATAGGATGGGATCAACCTCTCAACGAACCATACGTGTCCAAATGGTTAGATTGGTTAAGTTTCATGCGTCAGATGGGTCATGTCACAGTCGCCCGAGGTATTAAGAATAGAATCGACGAAACTGATGCGAAGGTGGAGTTGCACCTATTCAGCGATGCTTCAGAGATTGGTTATGGGGCGGTTGCTTACGCTCGGGTAAGCTATGCGGAGGTACAACCTTACTGTGTCCTGTTATACAGCAAGTCTAGGGTGGCACCTATTAAACCAGTCACGATACCGAGGTTAGAGATGGCGGCAGCAGTCTTAAGTGTAAGATTGAGCGAGGTAATACGGAAAAGTCTGCCCAACTTCTTCTGTGGAGTGAGTTTTCATACGGATTCCATGATAGTATTATACTATATTAAAAATGCTGAAAAGCGGTACACCAGCTACATAGCTAACCGTCTTGCTGTTGTTCATCAGTATACCAGTATTGAGCAATGGAGTTATGTAAGCTCGTCACAGA